CCGATAATTATAACTAGATTTTTAATTTCTTATATAGTAATGATAATTACCTAATAACTATTATATAGATTTAAAATTTAAAATCTAAATTCTAGAATTTAACTTTCTAATTAATAAAGACGACTTTTATAATTAGAAATTATATTATTATAATTATTTAATTAAGGGCTATCTAAATACTATAAGTAATATTAAGTATAATGCCTTATTTAATATATATTATAAGAAAAGTAAAAGTTAATAAAGAAGCTATTAACTTAGGGAATAAGCTTTATATATAGAATATATAGTGAATATATTAAACTATATAAGTAATTTTAAAACCTTAAGGTATAATTAAAGTTATAGACGTAGATTTTATTGAGAGGACCTGAGCTAAGTAAATAGGTTAAATAAATAGGGTTTTAAAATATTTAGATATGTAAGATAGTATTATTATAATTTTTTTATAACTTTTTATTAGTTTATAAACTAAAATTAAATTAAAATGCTTAGGTTATTATCTTAAATACTATAGTAGTTTAGAGGGTTAGGCGATAACTAACTAGATTATTTTTACTTAATTAAAGCTTATAGAGAGATTGTTAACGATAGAATTGTTAGAATGGTATATAGAGGTAAGTAAAGGTTGTAATATGGTAAATTAGATGTTAATTTATGTTTATGTAGTTATGGTAGTAGTAAGAAGATCGTGGGTAAACTTACTTTGTATAATAATTATGAATAAGTAATTAGAAAGGTAAGAGACGCTGGGTTATAATTGGTAATTGGGTAATTGGAAAGGTAAGAGATGCGCAGTCGTAATTACTAATAATTAAGTAATTAGTAATTAGTAATTCGTAATTGAGTAATTAGTAGTTAGTAATTCGTAATTAAGTAATTGGTAATTAGTAATGGGTAATTACGACTATAGGTAGTTATCGTGAATTCGGAGCCTTGCGTTAGTTAGCTTTCTAACTAAGCTTTGCTCTAGAAGTTTTGCTTAAGGGCCTAGTCCTAATCCTTTAGTATCTAACGTATCTTGTATAACCGTTGAGGGAAAAGATTAGACGATAGTTCTTACTGAACCGGGCGTTGATCGTCCAGAGACCTGGGCTTCGCAATCGTGAAAACCTTCTGACACCGGGGCGCAAAAAAACTAACTTTGTTACTCTCGGCTAAAAACAAGCTTAATCTTGATGGGGGGCTGTCGTCTCGTCTTCTCATTCCGTATGCGACTACGCAATGTTGTTGTTCTGTACGTTGTATTTGCGGTTAAGCCATCACCAGCAGCATCCCTGACTCTGATGGGGGCCGCGTGGCTGGTTAGGTGCGGCGTAATCTGCACACCTAATGTGACGCGCAATTTGTTGGTGAACTTGATTAACTTGGCTACATCAACAGGTTATTTAATTAAACTCTGTTTGCCAGAGTTTGAAATCGACTAGTCTACTACATCTGCTTCTCACCGGATCTATTTACCAGCTCTTAAACCTCTTCATTTATAACATCTTTACTCTCGGCTTTGCCTTCCTTCATCGGCCGCTCCGCATGAGACTTCACGTGCATCAAAAGATTCAGATACGACACTCTTTCTCGTTTGTAGGCGATGGAAGTAGGATTCGGAGCACGAGGCGTTGCAAAACTCATATCGACGTGATGAATAACACACCTCAGTAAGGCTCCGCTCCCCTTCGAGGCGAGGCTATGTGTGTACCTCATCAGCACACGCAAAACATGCAAAGAGGCTTTGGTAATAGTTCATGTTGAAAAGATGGGAGGGGATTCACTCCAGACATCCCGCTTGTGATCATGATTGATTAACCATGAGAGGCTCTGAAATGAGAGGCACTTTAACATCGATTCAGCAGGCAGAACCACCATGGCACGAAGACACTCGAACAAGCTAGAGTTGCGCTCTAGTTACACAGGTTTGAAGCCAGGCAAGGGTGTTTGTTGATGCTAGAACGCATCGAATTGCAAGGCTCTGCTCATAGCTGTCACCAGCTATTCCATTCAGCTTGCAGGGCCACGGACTCGTTTTCAGCTTCGATGCCTTGTTGTGCATAGTCCTGAACATTCTTCACAAATACAGCCGCTTAAAACCTCTTGAGGTTGGCCGTCCGCGATAGACGGATTGCGAATGACTTTTTGGTCAGTCTCAACAAAGAAGTATGAGTATTTTGCGCGCTTGTGAACCCCGCTTTGAAGACAGATTTTCGACGACGGAGTAAGAACACCGTCTAGACACGACTGAAGTTACTATGAGAGGTTTGCCAGGTGAGATGTAGTCGGATACACGTGGCGGACATGTTATGGCTTGCAAGAAGGCCCGAATCCTGAGTTTCGCAGCCGCGGAGAGCTCAAATACGTCAAAATTGAGTTCTCTTACTCAATCACAAAATATCAAGCATGAGACTCAAGGTCTAATCAGAGACATGCTATTATATTTGGGAATGGTCTGTTGTCACACACGCTGTTGTAAGAGCTCAGAGTTGGTGTTGAAAGCTCAAAGAACTAGTACTACACTGCAGAAGTGTCCATACTTAGATGAGGAGGCTTGAGTCACTTTGAGCCAATCAGTGCAGACCGAATGCCACGTAGGAAACAACTCATGTGGTAGTAGCGAGTTTAAGCGTCGATGATGATAGATTGACTGCTTCTGTATGGACTCCATACAAAGCTGAGAAAGTTGAGTTCCGCCGCGAGGGAAATGTGGTCTGTGTTAGTCAGACGACAGGCGCTCCACAAACCTTAACCAGAGCCTCACTTCTGGTGAGGTAAGAGAAAAAGAGAAGAAGGGCGTCATGACGTTCTGCAAAGCGGTCTAGAAGCTAGAGCGACGCTTGAGACGCCGCAGCAAAGGCGGTGGCCGGGCGCTGTGACGGCTCATCAGGCATTACCCCGCCATGTCTTAATCGGAGCTTGGATTTGGCTCTTATCAGCGGGAATGATGGAAATGATGGAATGATGAATGGAGGGGCACTCTCGTATTCGTGTTGTCACGTGATGCATCTAACGGTTGAGAGACGGAGGCCGAAAAGAGATCAGACGGTTTGATTGGCCGGGCCGTCCAGATCGCACAGGTCAGGGGTAGCTGCCGTCCCTGGTGGATTGGCCAATCGATGAGCTCCCGCGGTTGTCAGACGGGGGAAGGGTCGCATTTGCACAACTCGTTGCTCAATGCTCCGAAATGAGAAATTGCCTGTTGATGTTGGTGAGTGGAAGAGATTTACCTCTTCGGACGATTTGTGCATTCTCATCTGCATGTTTTATGAAACGTCACTGGCCCCGTCCGGAAAGGCAGCCCACCGAGAGTGCATTGGTGTAATTGTAGGTACTTTTTTACGGTATTGAGTCGAGTGTGGTCAAGTCACCGACAGACGCCACGATTCCGTGGAGGGCAGAAGTAGACACTTGTAGCAGGTACTTTGCTTGGCGCAATCCAGTTTGGCTGCGTTGCTGGCGTTGGTTTGCTCCGGTGGGTTAGGGAACACATGGTGATTTTGTGACATTGACAGGTAGTTGCGTTGACCATGGGACTCGAGCTAATTGGACACGGCTTTCTTGACTTGACCGAATAGTGCTCAGTAAATCTGTTTGGGATACCTGACCTAGATCAATCAAAATACCGGGAACAAAAAAGACCATAGAGAAAGAAGCAACCCGCGGCTCCTTGTCTTGTCCGAGGATAAGTGACGGTCGCATGGATACGAATACGTGGATAGGATGAGAGGTGCTGCGCAATAGAAAGGTTAGCCCATGACAGCTTCAATTTCGCATCACTGAGTGGTGTGCTAGATTCAGGGTCATAAGCCAACCCCACGTCCGAATCTTGCGCCATTCGGTCTACTCGCGCCCCATGGACGGCGGCCGAGACAAGCGATGGGCATCCAATGAGGGCAGAAGAAAGGTCATTCGAATGCCCAGATGTCAATACGGAGCAGATAAAGAGGGCGTGTCACAACCCACAGGCCGACATGTGGTGCTGGGCCGATTGTTATGTGCGTGTGAATGTTCGGAGGCGAGCTGCCCTTGATTCTCGGTGGACACTGGATGGGCAATGCAAGCAATGCGGCCCTCTTTCCCCCTAAACGAAACGAAGCAACGACTAGGTAGGTACCTTACTACCTTTGGTTGCTTGGTGAAAAGCAGGTGAGTTGGACCCAACAAATTTTGGCACTAGCCCGTCTGGTTGCGCTATCATCTATGCGCCAAAGCAGCCAGCAGATTCTGTCCCGGCTAATTAACCAAGACAGAGCCAGAAGGAACAAAATTGTCATTTCGTTTGATGTTGGATGATAGGCAGGCGGACATTCCACTTACCGGCCATCCGAGCACTTTGCGATAGTCTCATGTATTCGCACTGAATTGAACTGAGACTGTGATAACCGCCCCGCTCCTCCTTTTCACTTTGCGCCGCGAGCTATATCGAAATGTATAGCAAGGATAGAAACACTGCTCATCGAAATCTGACTAGAATCAAAACTCAGTGACCTTTTCTGGGGTAAAGTGAGTTTCGCTACCCAAGTCAAGAGAACAGGAGCCGAACCAGGCACCTGAGCAGAGGATGCACACAGACGGACGCATTGGTAAGGCGAGAAGAGACTTCCGGCTCACATCGTCGTCCGATGGTCCCTGAAGACGGGATTGCTTGGGCGATTGAGGCCTTGCGCATGCTTCCAATGGTTCCAAAGGGCCCCCTTATTGCGCAGGCCGCAGGGTGAGGTGGTATTGATCAGGAACCCGGAAAGAAAATTCAGAATTTCAGTAGCCCACATCGGTCTTAACGGAAACAACCCACAAATACCTATCATGTTTTGATCGTCCTCTCTGTGCTCCCGGTCGCAGTTGGCGTGCGGAAACTGCTGTGGCCGCTGTCTGTTCAAACACAGAGGTGGATTTGTTCAGGTAGAAAGACCTTAGAACCCCCGTTCGCGCCTACGTGTGGTGGCAGGGGAGGCAGGGGGAGGTACAGGTACATCCCAGTGACCCGTCTTGCAGAGACTGGGACTTGCCTCGTTCGCTTTCACCTGGCCTACCACAACGAACAACCTCATCCGGGTATCCACCTCTTCCCATGCCCCCCGTCCCGTCCCCGTCCATGCCCATGGTAATCGAACTCCCTTCTTTAATCTTTTGAACATGTCCTTCCCTCCCACATCTCACCATCAGTGCTCCTAATCAGCCTCCACCGAGAGTGTTGTTCAACTCACCTACCTCGCGCGGCATTCTCACTGCTGCCTCCTTTCCCTCCGAGGACCTCAACAAGCGCAAAACTTACTTGGGTTGTTGCGTGTTGCGCCTGAGCTGTCGACCGACCTTTTCGCGCCCTGGTATTTTTTTTCTTAGCCCGGCCGACCTACCCTCCGAATACACGCACCCCGATTTCGATATTCAAACCGACCACGATGGATTCCAACGCGACGACCTTCACTTCGGTGTTGGCCAATGCCAAGCTCGGCAATGTCAACATTCCCCCTCAAGTCGACTATGTGATCGAGAAGGTGGCCAATGCCAGCATCGTGACGATCCTGTTTACGCTGCTGGCTCTCGCTGTCGCATATGACCAGAGTAAGTGATGCGCCAAGGACTGGCCTCGGAATTGGAACAAAATCTGACAAGCCATAGTCAGCTACATCACTTCCAAGGGCTCCATTGCTGGCCCTACCTTCAAGATGCCCTTCATCGGCCCCTTCTTGGAGTCTGTGAACCCCAAGTTCTCCGAGTACAAGGCCAAGTGGGCCAGCGGCCCTCTCAGCTGTGTTTCTGTCTTCCACAAGTGAGTCGCCTATCATATGCATACATACCTCTAAGTGATACGATGTCTGACGGTCGCAGGTTCGTCGTCATTGCCTCAACCCGCGACATGGCCCGTAAAGTCTTCAACTCTCCTGGCTATGTCAAGCCTTGTGTTGTTGATGTCGCCCACAAGCTCCTCGGTCCCACCAACTGGGTGTTCCTCGACGGCAAGCCGCACGTTGACTTCCGCAAGGGTCTCAACGGCCTCTTCACCCGCCAGGCTTTGGCCTCTTACCTGCCCGGCCAGGAGGCAGTGTACAAGCAGTATTTCCAGGAGTTCCTCCAGATTACCAAGGATGCCGGCGGCGAGGCCCGTCCTTTCATGCCTGCTTTCCGGGATGTCATGACCGCTGTTTCGTGCCGCACTTTCGTCGGCTACTACATCTCCGACGAGGCCGTCCGCAAGATTTCGACCGACTACTTCCTCATCACCGAGGCTCTCGAGCTCGTCAACTTCCCCCTTATTCTGCCCTTCACCAAGCCCTGGTACGGAAAGAAGGCCTCCGACATGGTTATCGGCGAGTTCGCCAAGTGCTCTGCCAAGAGCAAGGTTCGCATGGCTGCCGGAGGCGAGGTGACCTGCATCATGGACGCCTGGGTCAAGTCCATCCTCGAGTCCAAGAAGTGGCGCGAGGCCGAGGCCGCTGGCAAGACTGAGGGTCTCGAGAAGCCCCACCCTCTTCTTCGCGAGTTCTCCGATTATGAGATCGCTCAGACTGTCTTTACCTTCCTCTTCGCCTCCCAGGATGCCACCAGCAGTGCCGCCACTTGGCTCTTCCAGACCATGGCTCAGCGCCCCGACATCCTCGACCGTGTCCGCGAAGAGAACATCAAAGTTCGCAACGGCGATCGCCATGCTGAGTTGAACATGGACCAGCTCGAGTCCCTGACTTACACCCGTGCCGTCGTCCGCGAGTTGCTCCGCTACCGTCCTCCCGTCCTGATGGTTCCCTACGTCGTCAAGAAGCCCTTCCCCATTACCCCCGAGTACACCGTTCCCAAGGGTAAGCATGTTATCGCCGTTGAGTTGTTTGAGTGAATGCTGACTTGAGATAGGCGCCATGGTCATTCCCACCGTTTACCCTGCGCTCCGTGATCCCGAGGTGTACGACCGCCCCGACGAGTTCGATCCCGAGCGTTACTACACCGGCGATGCGGAGGAGAAGGGCGCCAAGAACTTCCTCGTTTTCGGAACCGGCCCTCACTACTGTATCGGCCAGACCTATGCTCAGCTCAACCTAGCCCTGATGATCGGGAAAGCCTCCGTCATGTTGGACTGGGTGCACCATCCCACGCCCAAGTCGGAGGAGATCAAGGTGTTCGCTACCATCTTTCCCATGGTATGTTGGAGATCGTCCCGTATAAGAGTGAAGAATAAGAAACTAACAGGCGTAGGATGACTGCCCTCTCACCTTCAACGAGCGCACGGCATAGATCTCTTATAACTCTTTTCCCTAGGCTATGGGCTGGCAGTGATTTCGCCCAATGAATGAGCTGGGCCCGGCTGACGCTGCAAGACCACCGCTAGCGCGCCCCTGTCAGTGTCAGACGCCACTTTAATCGACTCTCGGAACGGGAGGCTCGTAAAACTCGAGTCGAGATTGGTCAACCCCAGATCCCTAGACTAAAACTTGTAATAGACGTTTATGTGTACATAATTTTTCAGGAGAGTAGTCCTAAAAAGAGCGGGCGATGCCGCGGACTTTGGGTTGTTTAGGGATTATCATACCCAGGCGAGGATGGACATTGGGTAAACGGCCGATGCGAATGATGCTGGGTGACGATAGACTCAGTTTAGAGCCAATGGTTAAAAAAAGAAACTTCCAATATCTTTGAGCCCGATTATGCATTGAGTAACATAGGCGTTGATGGAGATGAGGAAGCCGCGTAGCATCAACCGTAGAAGTGAATGTCGAATGGACGTCAACCAATACGGCACGCGAGCGGCTGTTTGTATCACACCTATTTTATCTTTCCTTATTGGATGAATATTAGTGAAAGGGCCCCGGAGAGAATACTATTTGATGGTCGGCGAAATAGATATCATGGACAAGGAGCCAGTGAAAGCCAAGTCGTCGAACAGAGATGAAGCCCGCTCGAGTACCAATAGTGGAGACCGGCCCAAGCTGCAGGAGAAAGCGGGCAGCACTGTCATCAACGCTGCATGGGGCGCCAGGTCCCCGGGGCCCCCGCCGTCCCTTGGCCGAAAGGAAACCCGCTAGAGCTTCCCGTAATCAGTTTAAAGCTCTCCAAGCTTCCGAATCCCAGGTTCTTAGCTACTCCCGTCCCCAAGACGCTCTCTATTCTCTTTGACAATCGCGAGATTTGTTTCCATTCCAGTCAACTTCTTCCCTGACTAATAGGCCCCCTAAAAAAGACAGAAAGACAGAGAGAGATGGCTTCCACAAGGAGCGTTTGCGCCAACGCCCTCCGGGCAAGCAGCCAGCTCGCCCGCGCCCCGACAGCGGCGGCCACCACGAGACGGTCCTTTGCCGCGGTGGCGACGTCGACCTTCTCCGCCCGCGTCGTTCCGGGCAAGATCACGACTCCTCTGCGTTCGAGAGCTGCTGCAGCAGTGACGACGAACCCGAATGCGACAACGGCACGCTTCTTCTCCTCGGAGAAGGAGAGGGTGGAGGACGACTACCACGAGATTTCGGCGAACGGGAGCAAGATCTGGGACTTTGAGCAGATGGCAGAGCTGGCCAAGGATCCCGGCAACGTCGTCATCGTCGGTACGTTTTGTTTTACTTTACAACCCGCAGGCTGATCATTCATGGGATTGTTCGTTCCATTTCGGCTAACTAAACCCACCCTTTCTACAATAGATGCCCGCGAACCACACGAACTAGTAGAAACAGGCCGCATTCCCACCGCGCTCAACATTCCCGTCGCCACGGCGCCCGAGAGCTTCCTCATCGCCGACGAGGACTTTGAGGACCGGTACGGGTACCCGCGCCCGAGCAAGGACACCGAGCTGGTCTTTTACTGCAAGGCCGGCGTGCGCAGCCGGGCGCTGGCGACGCTGGCGAGGGATGCTGGGTGGAACAAGGTCGGGGAGTACCCCGGTAGCTGGTTGGACTGGGCGAAGAAGGGGGGAGAGGTTGAGAAGGGTGGAAAGCAGATTGGGCAGGATTGACATAGCGTCAGGTTGTCTATCACGCGGTTGGGATGTATGAGTAAAGTCTTGAGGGGTGTGTCATACGACACGGCACACGGCATGGCAAGATAGACGGCGACTTTTGATCATGATATTCGTTGTACAGATATGGTACATGAAACCCTACACTCCGGCGGATGACACAGCATCCCCCATGTTCCAAGTAGACAAAATGCAAGTGACAAGCTCCTTTCGCACGCTCTTCTATAACAGTCTCTGAAAGGTTCCTCTAGTGATGACTTTGCAGAACCCCAAGGGTTAATCAAAAGGTGGGAGGTGCTCCCTCGGCAGGGGGGTTAGCGGGCGTAGCGGGCGGCGCCGCGGGGTCCTTGCTCGCGACGGGACTGCCGTGAGCGAAGAAGAGGATCTTAATGGCCAGCGAGAGGCCGAGGTGGAGGGCGACGACAACGACGAGCAGGATCTTGCTTGTCTGGTGGTCGGTGGCGCTAAGGACGGGGTAGAGGTTGCGGAGGAGGAAGGCGACGGAGAGACCGCAGCCGACGGCGACGAAGACCCAGTTGAGGATGTTGATGGGGGACCAGCTGATGAGGGCGACGGGGATCCAGATGAGGTTGGCGTAGCCGTAGAGAGCCCACTGCTCGAGGAGGTTGGCGGACTCGGAGCCGAAGTAGCGCAGGGCGAGGTAGAGGGCGACAGGGACGAAGAGCGTGTAACCGTAGATCAGACCGGCGGCGCCTGGGAGGAGAAGTGTGTCAGTAACCATCATGGAGGATTGTAAGCTAATTGTCAAGGAATCTCACCACTCAAGAGCTTGAAGTCATAAGCAAACGGGCCTGACCCTGTGCTCGCGAGGTACTGGCTGATGGTGCCGCCGAGGAAAAGGATCAAGACAACGGTCGTGGCGATCCAGAAGGGGCCGTAGAGGTCAGGGTTTCCCTCCAAAACGTCGAGGAAGTTGGCACGCGGATAGAGCGCAGCCCAGCAGCGAGAGAGGACGGCCGAGGTGTCTACGTCAAAGTACTGGGCGTAAAAGTTGATGCTCCAGAGGAAGCGCTTCGAGGAGCCGGACGACGCTGTCGCAGGCGGCGGGAGGCCTGACGCGGGCGCCTTGCGAGTGCCTGGCGTCGTGTCATTGAAGTTGGAGCTGTGGAATTCGAGATCGTCTTGGAGGTCGGTATGGCCGAGATCGCCCTGCGAAAGGAAGTGCGTTTAGTCTTGGGGGTGTTTGCGAGGAAGAAGTAAGGAAGGGAGCTCTCACCTCGTCGTCGACGTCCACGACGGCGTCGTATCCGGACCCGGACCGTGACATGATTGGCTATCGAAGCTGAGAAGAATCCGACCTTGGTTTCCGACACTAGTTTATGCCTCGCCGAGTTGTGGAAATGGAGCTCTGGGCTGCTGGGTCGTTGTCGTTGGAGATCGTGAAGTCGGACAAATTAGGACGGTCGATACGTGTGTACGTACGAACACCTAGAGCTTTGGACAAGGTGTCGTAATCCCACATACGCAGTTTGGCCCTGCAGCTCCCTGGGAACAAAAGTCTCCACTAAGGGACACATCCCTGTAAGAGCCATACCAGTGTTGCACTAATGCGGATAAATCGCGTCCCAGTTTTATGCAAGCACACGCCATTTCACTCCATGTGCTCAGAAGAATTTCGATAGAAGCATTGGACACTATCTGATAAGATCAAAATCACGAAGTTCACATGCATGACGTGCATCACCAAGTTGAACGACACATGGTTCTGAGGCTCTGTATTTCGCTACTGTGCTGATTTTCCACTGTAGTCAATGGAGCATTGTGAGGCAGGTCAGTCGCCATCCCGCATCCATCATAGTACGTCTCTCATGCTCATTAGCATCTCCATGCTGCACTCAGGACGCCTAGGCGCGCTCTCTCGCCAAACGATTTTTCTCTCAGCCTCCAAACATCATTTGTTGATGAACGACAAGGCATAAACGGGGTAGTCCGGGTTGTGTTTCCTTTTGACATTTGAGGTAGGAGGGCGACCAATTCAGTTTTTATTCGACGAACTGCTTGCCGATGGAAAGTAATGCTACCACAAAGCCCAGGAAAATTCGTATCCCTGCCATCCTCTCCAGAATGCCAGAACCCGTGACGCCGCAACCGTAATGAATCGTCTATTTGAGCTTCTTCTTGGGGCGGAGCTGGTTGGTGTGACCGCACTTGCGCTTACGGCAGTTGGTCGCACGGGGGGGAAGACGAGCCTATATGATTCCACGTTAGGTTTTGCTTGGGTCGCGCAGCCGACCTCGGTTGGCGGGTGATGAGAAGAGAGGCTACTTACGTAGCACTTGCGGCAGATCATCTTGTCGCAGTTGAACTTGGAGGCAAGAGCCTTGAGGGAGGGCTCGATGATACCACCACGGAGGCGGAGGACCAAGTGGAGGGTGGACTCCTGTTTGGTGTGTCAGTTTCCATATGTCTTTGACCCATCATATCTTCAATATCCCTAGCGGCCTGAATGCTTCTCTCCCCCTCTTTTCAAGTGTCCCGCGCAATGAGACTAACCTTCTGGATGTTGTAGTCGGAGAGGGTGCGGCCATCCTCAAGCTGCTTGCCAGCGAAGATCAGGCGCTGCTGGTCAGGGGGGATGCCCTCCTTGTCCTGGATCTTGGACTTGACATTGTCGATCGTGTCGGAGGACTCGACCTCAAGGGTAATGGTCTTACCCGTCAGGGTCTTCACGAAACTGCAACCACCATCGTCAGCACATTCGGCGTCTTCGGACTTCGTCGTCGCATGGAATGAGATTTTGTTGCGCTCGGCATCGGGCGGGAGGGGTGTTCGGGGTTGGCTCACATCTGCACTACACGCAAAATATCGTTAGCATCGCCAAAAATCAACAATCAGAGCAACGGCGCGCAGCATGACGCCGTCTCGCCGTGCAGGGGGCTCTCATCACTTACTCTTGCCGACGTTCGTGAACTGGCTGTTGTTACCGAGAAAGTTCTGGTGATCGCGGCAAATAATTGGTGGGGCGGGCTTGAGAATGAGTGTTGAGGTTGCGGCGCGAGCGACCGACAAGCCCTAATTAGGGCACGCGGGTACGGACATGGTCCGAGCGTCAAAGTATGTGCAAAAGTGAGCGGGCTGCGGTCGGCTCCCTGTGGGAATTACGGGTCTGCCTAGTGTAACCAACCTCACTCTGGAGTTGCAATGACCTAGGTACCTACTTCAACAGGCTCACCCTCCAATTACACAACTATCCTCGTGTTCTTCGCCATGGAAAAGTGCATATATGCCGATGGGTTGGACGTGGTCTCTGGCTCATACAAGATGTTCTGATACTGAGAACAATAAGGACGAAATATGCGGGCTTTAAAATTCGTTCTGGACAAAAACTTCTTTCTACTTTAAGGGTATCTTGACGCTGATAATTCCAATTTGGGCACTCGTGCCCATCCAAAGGAGCTGAGAACACTTACATGCCCACCAACTCCTGTTCCTTGAGAAGGGCGTATCACAGCCCGTAATGGCCTTCCTCAAACCGGAGCACTATTCGGTGTATGTCGGCTGCTCAGTATCCGACTCCATAGGCACAAAAGAACGCGACCGTTCACGTCTTTCACTGGCTGCTCTGCGTTGCTCCTTTTGCCAGGTCACAATGTGGCCCTCGAGCATATTGACGGCTCGCACCAACATTGGAACGGACAGCCCTGCCAGCCGCGCCGCCAGCTGAAAGAAGTCCCTGCCTATGGGAGGAAGGTCTTCCTCAGATTTGTATGAGTGATATCGGCTGGTTCGCAAACTTTCCTCCCCAAGTCTGTCGTGTGCATCTGAGTCGACAAACAATGCAGCCTGTGTCTGGACAGCGCGCAGCCTTCCGGCCATCTCATCCCCTGTTGTCTCGGACACTGTTTGTTTGGGGACTTGCTCGTCGACGGGGAAGTACCTCGCGAGTAGTGTCTCTTCGGCTAAGCCGTTGTCAATCACCGGATTCAGCAAACCCAAGGGCACTTTGACTTACTTTGTGCTTCAGTCAGCAGTGAAAGGTGTGCAAAGTACTCATCTAGCTCTTTGGGGCTCATCGATGTGATCTGAGACGCCGTAACGTCTGTGTAGTCAACGGTAGATGTAGCTTCATCTGGAACCAAGGCTGGAGTCATTATCCTTTTCCACTCTTTCCAGTCAAGCTTAGGCACGATGAAGTTGTTCTCGTCCTGGGGAGCTGGCTTGTTGTCCTCGAGTGGAAAGCAGTGCATCGCAGCAAGGACAAGGATGGTGACCAGGAGAATTTCTGGTTGATTTATGAGACGGATTCGGGTCTTCTCTAGCGGAAAACTGAAGGTTAAGTTGGCGATGGGCGGAACGCGGCGCGCAATCGCGACCGTCTCAACTGCGAGTCGTCAGTCGAGTCCATCTTTTGGCACGGCCAGAGGACCTACTAGGCAGGCCCAACTCGCGCGCATACTGTAATGTCATTAGGACATCGTTGAGCGGTGGGAAGATCATGCCGTAATTGAGATGATACGACAACGCTAGATTCATGACTGAAGCGTGCAGTTCTCCATTCTCGAAGGCAGCAAGGTTTGTGGACTTGAGCGGTGTCGTATACCAAGTTGGCAATCGATCACGCATCTCCTGAGGTAGCTGGCGATACTGTGACTGGTCAGAGAAGGTTCAAATCTGGTCGGAGGTAGTACCAACAGCTTCTTTGTACGGGATGCTCCCCCCTCTCGCCCACTTGCAGAGATCACCAATACGCGTGGGTATTCTCAGCAACATGCACCCCAGGAAGCAAAGGCCTAGTGTGTCAATCATTCGGGGTGCCGGCCACTCGCTTCCATTTTCTCCTGTCCATCTTTGTGCTCGTCGGTTCCGAGACTGGTGCTCCTCATCCTGGGCGAGGTCGAGTTGCGAGCTGAATAGCGAGGGCTCTCCCTCCGAGGCCGAGTCATCCTGAACAGCTGTCGCAGCTCCGGAGATGCGAAGATCCCAAAGATCGCGGACAATCGTCTCTAGTTCCGGCTTATGTTCCTTTGCGGCGACCAGCCATATTACCTGCTCTCTAAGGATGAGCTGCAGGCACTCCAGATACAAATCTCGTGCTTGTTGCCCGGTGAGCACTCGTCTGATGCGCTCCTTGGTCTCCTTCTCCTTTCGAGCCACGCGACCCTTCTGGCCGAAATCCTCATCGCCAAGGTCAAATTCAACATATCCCTGGTTGAAAGTGTGAGCTGCGGCTCATCATAGGGGGTGCAAAGCATGGCTTGGACAAACTTGAAGCTGGTGGCCTTCCTTGGCGCAGAATCTCAAACCATTTTCGAGATACCATTTGCGAGAACCGCAAAATTCACAGCGTTCTCCTTTCGGAAACTTATGAAGGTCCCTCTCTGGGGCCATGGTGCTCTGACTGATAGGTTGGTCGTACTTGGTTGCAAAGTTGATCTAGGCAAAATCGTCACCAGATTGGTGAAGTTTTTGACAGTGCGCGGTGCCCGTTTCTCGGGACACACCTTTACCAGGTAGGCGGAACCTGGCAGGCAGTTCGTCACAGTACAGCCCCCGAATTATGTTATCTTCGGACCAACACTTCAAAGTGCTCATGGGGGACTATTGAATTTAGGGATTGCAAAGATTTAGTTCTAGGCAAGTAATAACATTGTGTCGCATAGCTTAACCAGTTGAGTCTACCTCACTCATACGAGCAGCCCACGATAGCTAGGTAGCTAAGCCGCATCGTGAAAAGGAGCCGATCAAGACTTCACGGTTCTTACAGACAAACGAGGTGTGGCTTGTAAATGTAGTAGTAACAACAAGCAGCTCGTAGTCGAATCACTTTCATGGACATTACACATTTGGCGTTTTCACTAAATCTGTACGTAGAGTTTGAACGAAAAACAGAGACCGCGTGGTGGAGATATGTACCGCTTTTCCATCGGACAAATCTGCTGCCACCGCGAGGCTCTCCCATTTTTTTTCACCTATCCCATTGCTAGTCTGATCGTCGTTAAGAGTCTGTGGGACAGACAAAACAAAGGAAAAAAGTCGTGCGACATGTCTTGCAGTTGTCAAGTTCGCGTACCCAGTATCAAGTCCTGTCCAGATATAGCCTACGCAACGACTGACGGGGATACCGTTAATTTCGAAGCGCCAAGAAATATCGCAAGAAATGTCCCCAGTCTGCCAACATCTGCCAGCAAGGCCGCTTGAATTGAGCGCTTGTGGAAGTCATTGTCTGATGATATGGTAGAATTGCAGCGCTTAACCCTGCTTGGGGGCCTCCTTGGCCTCAACGGCGGCCTCCTCACCCATGGCGGTAAGAATGACGACGTCTGTAGTTCTCATTTAGTGATGACCTCTTTTGTGTTGCTCGACAAGCTTATCGTCGTGAGGGGTAGGAAGTCTTACTGGTGTCCTTCTCGTCAATCTTGAAGAGCTTGTTGATCTTCTCGCCAATCTCGCCGTCGGGAAGACGGACATCGTCCTTGAGGTCACCATCGTCGTTCATGAGGGAGAGGAAACCATCGTCGGAGATATCGATCTGTGGAGGGTGTTATGTTAGCAAACAAAAACCATATTGGCAATGTAACAAGACTTGTGGCGACTTACGAGCTGGAACTCCTTGCGGGAGACGTTGGGGACGTCCATGTTGTGGGTGGAGGGAGAGAGATCCTCAAGCTTCTTGCCGGTGAAGATGTCGATGGCGACCAAGTGAACCTTGGCGTGACCGTGCTTGCCAGTCTTGGAGGTAGACATGTCGACAATCTTGCAGGGGCGGCCCTTGATGACGACGTGACCGTTCTTGCGCAGAGCAGAGCACTGCATGGGGAAGGTGAGAGACGCACCGGCGTCGGTGGACTCGAAGGTCATCTCATGCTGTTCGGAGACGATGCGTTAGCGATTTAGCCAACTCAAAATATGGACGTCGTTCGGCATGATGACGATGATGGCAGGAGGATGGAATCGATATTGGTGTGGTATTTGATGCTCGTATGCGTCGTGTGTTGCCCGAATTTCTGTGCAGAGCGGTGGTGCGTTGAAGCATCCGCGGGGCTCTCTCGCCAATGTGGATGCGGGGTGGTCGATTTTCGCCAAAGCAACCGACATCGATCGCATTCGACCACCACAACCACCACAACCACCACCACCAAAAGAGACAGGGCACGGAGGGGCATAATACAGCTGTCGCAAAAGACTCACCTGGGCGTCGTCGTTGGACATTTTGAAGGATTGACTGGAAGATGTCTAAAAAATCGAAGGGAAGATGTCGACAGGCGGAATTACCCAGCAAAAGACGGCTGATATTTTTTTGAGGGGGGAGAGTTGTGAAAGGAAGAGAGCGGGCAGAGGGGGGAAATGGAGGGGAAAAAAGGAAGGCGAGGCGGGAGTAGATAATTTTTTTCCTGGTTTTATTATTGGTTTTTTTCACTCCTAGGCCCAGATTCGCGCCCCTCTCAGTCTCTGTCCGTGGCTTCCCAAGCGTTGTGTGGGACAGGTGCAGGGAGCACTTTCGCAGTGAAAAAAAGGTGGAGTGTGGGCTTTCTTCCCTTTCTTTTCACAGATTGAACCTGTCAGGCCCCTCCCCGAGTGACATTGTCGCCGGTGGATGACTCTGCGGTGAACAAAGTACCCATCTAGGTTCTCCCGTCTGCCATCGACCTATGGGTCTTCCTACGCCCAGGACACCACACCGTGTAGGAGCTGGAGCTCCTTGCCCGCATCACCTGGACGCCGCTTGCTCAATAATTAGGCCGCTGACCGCCTGTGGAATGCCCCTATCTGATTCATTCAGGCACGCCAGGCCTACCTTAGGTAGTCGGCGAGGTTGGTTGAAGGTTTCCTGGTTCCCTCCCGTCTCCCAAAGACTCAATCGGTCAAAATGACTTCCCCTTCACAGGGTTACGGGAAGGACAATGAGGCACATGGGCACAGTCCAGCGGCCCTGTGGCAACGACCTTTTTTGGGCGCTAATGCCGCCATGCCAAAACCTCGCGGGCCAGTAACCCTTGCTTCTTTCTGCCTTACCTGCCATCCTCGTTGACCTCCGATATTAGCCTTCCACTTTGGCGAGAGAAGGTCCGGACTACGGGAATGGATTTGAACGGTACGCGACGGGCTTTCAAACAACCTAATATGAAGCTGCCGTGCCTGAATACCTACTCGACTACCTAGGCAAGGGATGTCATTGTCCGGACATTGTGGCAGGTTCTCCCGTACCCAATTCGTGTATCTAAGACGAGAGCTTCGCACCCATTCGCGCCCAGAGATATACCTTCACATTGTAACATGCAGGAGCTTCCCTCCGACACAGTCCCAGCAGTCCGAGTTACGGTTACCTTGGAGATGTCGCGGATTCTGCACGACATGTGTGCAGCCTCTCTCCCATCCATACCAGACGCATCAATGGGCCGTTAATTGCTCTTCAATCGCCCATCCAAAGTCCTGCCCCGCACGTTTCCAGGTTGTTTGCCGCCGGCCCTCACTCCCAATTCTGCCCCGCACTTTCCAGACTTCGACCCCTCGAAGACAAAGGGCCCGACCCCTGCCGCGCCACAGGGAGCTCCCGTGGATACGTATCTTGTGGCTGGTGCTGGTGATTGATCGCTCACCCAATGAGAACACGTCGCTCTCCTAAGGCCGTCCAGCCTTGTCTACTGCCTCCTGGGGGTAAGGTATGTAACCAATGTCACAGGTGTACATCTTTCAAAGAAGCCAGACGCCGATCCCGCGATTCTACAACACCCTCTGTACGATTTGCGAACCCTCGATGATATGGTGCCCCGCCCTGTCGACCACATCGCTTCTTAGCTTCTCCATACCACAAGTCCACAATGTGGCTTGATCGGCTTGCAGCACAGTCGAACTCGTCTCCCTCAGCGTCGCAGCCTGGCAGTCGGCCATACTCTCCTCTTCCGCGACGAACCTCAAGCAGCCCCTACGTGACCTCTCAACGACCTGGCATCACACCAAGAGGCTCACAACTCTCGCTCGTCTCCAACGATTCCTCGAACTCCTTCCTAGCTTCACGGAGGGTCAATGGCTCAGGCTTGAAACAGTCCCAGACAACCTACGACGGACCGGATTCGGTTGAGATCTTGGGCCAGATCCTAGATACAGCGCCCGCATCCGAGGCAACAACAGTCACAATAGGCGAGAATGACCTCGAACTAGACTTCAATTTTGAAGGTCTGAGCTTGCGAGAGCTCGCAAGCTCCGACGAGATCGATAGAAGCGATGCGGATAGCTACCGGCGGCAAACCGCAGAGGAATGTATGAGCTCCCTATTGGCTGGCCCAACTGTCTGCAGATTGCTAACCTTTGAGTTTAGTTGAAGCGAGCAAGGCCCAGTTCGAGGACCTGCATCGATCAATTGCGGCATGCGATGGGGTTCTAGGCTCAGTAGAGACCAACCTGACGAGCTTCCGTAATGACCTAGCGGCCGTCTCTGCAGATATCGAAACCCTGCAATCACGTTCTGCGGCGATGAACGTGAGGCTAGACAATCGAAAAGCAGTTGAAAAGGCTTTTGGCCCAGTTGTCGAGGAGCTCAGCGTCTCGCCGCATGTGGTGTCCAAGATATCTGAGGGCCAGATCGACGAGACATGGGTCAGGATGTTGGCGGAAGTGGACAAACGAGCTACAGCATACAAGAAGTCGGTTTCGAACCAGGGAGAGAGCAAAGCTTGGGCAGATCTTGGTCCTCTACTGGAAAAACTGACAATGAAGGCCGTCGAGCGGATACGCGACTTCATTGTCGCCCAGATCAAGGCCTTACGATCCCCTCACATCAACGCCCAAATAATTCAACAGCAGAACTTCTTGAAGTTCAAAGACCTATACACTTTCTTGCACAAGCATCATGCTACTCTCGCAGAAGAGATCAGTCAGGCTTACATGAACACCATGCGATGGTACTACGCAAATCAATTTGGACGATATCAAAGGGCATTGGAAAAGCTTAAGCTGCACATTCTCGATAAAAACGACGTCCTTGGACACGACGAACCCACGCGAAGAGCCACGGTATTGTCTGCCACAAAACCAGCTGGGCCGCCTCATGATGCCTTCAACTTAGGACGGCGTATTGATCTCCTGAAGTCGGGTAACGCCGCTGCGATCTCCTCTTACCTGGCCGAGGAAGACCAGACAACACATTATCTAGAGGTACCTTTCAGGAACTTCAACCTGGCACTCATAGACAACGCCACCGCGGAGTACACATTCTTGGCCGCCTTCTTCTCGCCGCCATTATCTCTACAAGCGGTGTCACGACAGTTCAACTACATCTTCGAACCAACATTTGCGCTAGGCAAAACCCTCACCAAGACGCTCACTGCCGAGTCATACGATGCCCTGGGGTTGCTGCTAAGCATCCGCATCAACCAGCATCTTGCTTTTGAACTGCAACGGCGCAAGGTGCCAGCTGTGGACGGCTACATTAACATGACGACAATGCTTCTATGGCCGAGACTGCAAGTCGTAATGGATCACCACTGTGAATCGTTGCGGCAGCTGATGAATACTCTACCCACAAAACCCAGGGCGGCGGACCAGAATAAGCTATCCGCCGCGCCGCATCTCGTCACCCAGAGGTTCGGCCAGATCTTGCAGGGAGTTCTGGCGCTGAGCACAGAGGCAGGAGACGACGAGCCGGTGGTAACCAGCTTGCGTCGTCTGCGGTCAGAGGCAGAGGCGTTCTTGACGCGGTACAGTCAGTCTTTCAGCGATAAGCGGAAGCGGGAACGGTTTCTTTATAACAATTACTCGTTGATTTCGACCATCATCAGCGACGTTGGCGGAAAATTAGGCACGGAGCAGCAGGAGCATTTCGAGGGTCTCAAAGCGGCATTCCAAGAGGGTGCTTAAAGAGAGCGCAGTACCAGGCACACAGCAGTTTGTTGGATTATTTTGGCATTGGCGCTACTTTAAGGGGTTCTTGACTGCCAGTGGCATATCACTTTGTATGATAGCCTGTTTTTCACTCTAACCTGGGGGAATCTAAACGTACATAATGAAACAAGTCTTGCGAGGGCTCCTCAGGTCGTCTTCTACTATCGACTAGAAGTTATGCGTCCAGGTCGTTCCGTTGGACCACTTATTGTACAGAGCTGCCATTGCAGCTATCGGACTGGGGTTTTTTCTGCCCAGGTAAACGGCCACTAGACCGATGACAACGGCCAGTCCGGCGGCAGCGGCACCCTTTCTGTACGCCCACATCACCTTCATGAGCCTTTGCCGGCGCTCGAGGGCCTTGAGCTCCGCCAGCTGCTTCTGGAAATACGCGTGTCCTTCGTCCATGGTCTGCTTTGAGCATTCTTCCACGGACCGCGCCGTCCGTAAGGAGCTGGCTTTGGATATTTTGCGCCACTGCGGTAACGATTCGGGTGGGAATCGCTCGTAAAGCGCAATCGTGCTCGTGATTAACGCATCGAGGTCCATCTTTTGCGGGACCTTGGAGAGGATGAGGTGGAGCATGGACGGATCGTCCTCCTCCTGGTCGAAGAGCTCGTCGCGGCGGTTCAGGACGATCTGGACGTACATGTAGATGCTGAACACGGGCTCGCGGGTAAGGAGAGTATCAAAGAGGCGGGCGATGTCGCCGTAGGCCTGGATGTCGTGCGCGTACATGGTCAGGGTCCCCGCCAGGGCGTAGAAGGGTTCCGTGCCGGAGAGGTGGCGCTTGAGCTTCGGATCAGCGGCGTTGAGGATGTCGGGGATCAGCCTGAGCTGCGCGACGGTCGGCTCGAGGCTGGTGAGCATGAAATCTCGTATGCGGAGCACCGACAGTCGCGATACGAGGCGGGCGCGCCATGGTGGTTCGAGGACCAGCATGAAGACTTGGCAGATGTCATGATAGCCTTGGAAGTAGCATAGGTATGGGTATCGACGGAGGACTTCGACGATCAGATCGGAAAGCTCGCTTTTGTTCTTCTCGAGCTCGGTGTCGTTCTGATCTGTACGTGGACTTGGTCAGCTTGCTTGGCGCGCGTTCGCAATTCCCTGCCGGGACACCGCAGAACGGAGTGGTCTCACGATTTGGGTAGTATATGAAGGCGCGATTAACGTCGAGCGCAACTTGTTCTTCGTCCCTATGACTTGGAAGGGCTTTCCATGAGACCTTCTCGTCTATACCAGCTGCGATTGTACCCTGGAAATCCTCACTATCTGGGAGGCCCAGGAGTATAGGCCCTACACACAATGTTCTGTTAGCCTCGGAGCATCGTAGGACCACGGCGCCATGGTTGGCACGCTTTACTACTGACAGGCTTTCCGGCGTAGGGTATCGGTAAGAAATCCGCCTTTGGTACTAGCCAGGCCTCTGAGGGCTTCTATGTTCCGCCATTTGCACGCATCGAGGATATCGGTCGTCTTGCGCTGTTCCTGATCTACGGGGGCCGCAGAGTCAGAGCTGCCCAGCGCATTCTTTTCGTCCATCGAGCCCGCTTCTATGACTCCTCTGTGCTTGCGAGAAGTGTAGCGTGACGAGGCGTCGTTGGAGTCGAGGGTTGTGCTCGTCACGGGAGCGTGCGCATCGTGTGGCTGCGAGCTCAGGAGAGGTAAATGCGCGTCGCTATCGCCTAGCGTCACGGACGCTGGTTTAACAAAGAATCGAGGAAGCCCATGAAATCCGCAATGGTGAACTGGCTCTAGGACACTGTTTCAACGACTTGAAGTTGAGGTTGAATTGGGATGCATTACACGCGTCCACGATCTGCCAACGAGAGACACACGATCGGTTGTAAGAACAGGGAAGCTGGAGGTCCAAGAGCTGCCACAAATGTGACAAGCCAGGTTATAGCGGAGTTTCCTCCACAGCGGATCTATGGATCTGTTTCGAACCATTGAAGCCGAGGCTTAGCGTACACTACGTTTGAAGCAACTTCACCAGGGACGCCCGGCCCCCATGGCCTGGATCGCCGGGACGGGACGCACGGGCCAGATAAGGCGACACTACTTTGATATTACAGTAAGGGACGCTGTCACGCTGTCACGCTGTCTAGCTTTGGGCTATTGCGAACGAGAGGCGAAATTTAGGGCTGACATATTTTCGGTGTGATCTTGTGTAAATCCCGGCTCAGAAAACAGATTCACCTATTAATGCATGAGCTTACCTTAGGTGCTTCACAGCCGGCATCGGCTGCATTGGACCGGCCTTGGGTCAGGCACTATGTAGGTCTACCTATGGCGGTTGCACAACTCACCAAACCTAGGCACTGCGTTACCCTTAGACGATCCGTATGACAATTTCGTCAACATCCTGTCTAATTTGGACGTCCCAAGGGGGTTCTATGACATGAAAAGATCAGGTTTCTCAGCTTGAGGAGTTCAATTTGATAGATGTGAGCTAGGTTGTTGGGGGTTTATTGCGCTGGCACAAAGGTTGTTAGATCGATCGTAGTCTCTGAAGGTGCGTTCATTGCCGACCACCGGATTAGAGACCTTGCTTTGGGCCCTGCAGTTCGAATCTGCCAGTTTCTAGCCGAGACAGCCCAAGCCAGACATGCATCGTGGTCTCGGTAAGTTGAGTACGTAAGGGCGGTTCTTTGTTGAGTGACATAAGCGAGTACTACCTTTTGGTTGTCTCGTTGGCTATGCTGCGGCCGAAGCGGCGGTTCCGTTGACTCTCCTGGGTACAGTATTAGCACAAAAGAGAAAATGTAATCTTGTCATGCATGAACATGAGTCTCCTCAAGTGAGGGATTCTTCGAGTCAGACAGCTGTGCTCTGAGCCGGCAGCTGTAAAGGTTGACAAGCCGGGCTTTCTCCGATTCTGGATCGGGGTCGGGTAATGTCTAAGTTTCACTCAAGTCAAGATCTTGACATTATGGCCTTTGACTAGAACGGTCACTATCGGCAGGTTGGATATCCTTCCAACGTACCTACCTCGGTGTTAAACCTACAGCAGGTGACCACACATGCTTCAAGCTTCATTCGATACATTGGGTAGGTACTTACATTGCAAAATGCCAGAACACCGTCTAGATATGGCACCCTGACTTGTCTGGTACGCTCTGTAGCAGAAAAATCAGAACATCCAAGGTAATAGACCCCCTGGCTGGCTGCCTTGCGCCCCCTGCTTTTCTGGAGTATTCCAGACCCGCACACGAGCCCTGGTCCTTGAAGGTGTATTAACCGATCCGCACTGATTTCTCACCTGGAATCGGACTCGTGAGGATGACTCTATCAGGTAGGTTATCAGCAGAAAGAGACTTATCAAATTCCTTTTCAGCCAAAAGGCCAAGTAAGCACGATTAGACAGATTGACAAGAGTTATGGTACAGATACATAGAAAGGCGGAAGTAGAGGGATATTCCAGAATGGCCATATTTACGTGAGGAGACGACGTCAAACAGTGCCCGAGGTAAACGACATCTGAGACAGTGGAGGCATCCGAACCTGCAGCTGAAATGGCCGGCCAGGCATCTTGCAATCCGGCGATGCAACTGTTCACATTGTGGTAAGGTAGTACCTAGGGTATGGAAGTTCTTGGTGGTTGGTGTAACCATCCGTATGTGGGACTTACACCCACACCAATGGAAAGAAGGCATTCAATTGTCTTTCTACCCAAGGGCAAGTAATGGTTTCAGCTGGGTAGGGCAGCAAGGTCTTGAGGAAAGACCATTCGTTTATCCAATCAGCAAGAGCCCGCGGTTCATTCCAGCTTTCTTCTTGTGGCGCCAGGACGTGCCCTCCAACTGGTAAGGTAGGCACGTAGGGTAGGGTACATCGTTGGCGTAACCATGTACTGCGTAGAAAGAGGCCTAGACTACCTACCTACGTTTGATTGATTAGTATCAGATCGACTTCACATTGTCATTGGATGTTTGACGTAGGGTTGCAAGATGGGACGACAACGGCGGATGAAATCGTTTTCTTCAGCATCCCTGCCGTCAGTGTTGCCCGGTCCCTACCTAACCTACTTCGCGATTGAATTGTACACTACTGCCCACGCACAATGATCTCACCTACTACTAACAAAGCATTTCAAAACGGGCATTCAACTGTCTTTCACAGACAACGGGGTTATCGAGGCGACCTGAATCAAGTCCCCGCTCGGCCAGGGCTGCCTGCCTATGGCTTGGCTGCCCGCCTGAGCAAGGAACACGATGGATACCTTCCCGTTGCGCATGCACGATGCTTCAGCAAGTCAGCAACAGTCTACAGGGCCAGCTCACCACCGACGTTCCATTACCCTACTGACCGAAGTCCCGTCACAGTGGAGAGAGAGCCTGGCTGAGATGCAAATCATACGCAGTGATCGAGACACAGCCAAGACACAGCCCAGGTACCTCGGCCGAGAATGGTATTTTCCGCGAATTCAACAAGCTGCATTCTTGGGATGTTCTAGGGTACCCCACTTGAAGTACTGCGAAGGGCTTGAGATGATCCAGGGTCCAGCGCGCCACAACGCCAACCGATCGGGTTCTCATCGAAGCCTTCTGGAGCCACAAGAAGCAGCGGCAAATACCCTACTTGACCTGACTTCATATGCTTGTAATACACTCTGATTAGCGATGATTGCATAAGGTGGCTCGGGTTGCTAGGGTTCTGGGTGCCTCAGACTTGCATTCTTAGTTTTACGCTACCTAGATCGAAATAGGCGGGGGTTGTAAAGTAGAGCGTTGTCCAAGGTAAGGTAGGCCGGGATAAGGCCTTTTTTTTCTTTGATCATTGATGCCTTAGTTGGTATGTGTGATGTTTGGTGGTATGGTAGCCAACCACTTCTGTTCCACGGTGTTTTGCTCGCGCCCACGTACATCCAATGTACTTGCCGCCTCACATTACATACCTACCTTACTGCACAACCAGGGCTTACTGTACGTGCCTCCTTACCTGCCTTACCTACTTTGCTTAAGCACGATATACTCGATTTACATTACTTGTCCGAGGTAAGGTAAGGTGAGGTAGGTGTCTAGGTAGATAGATACTGACAAAAACGGTCATGCAAGGTGTTTTGCAGCTATTGGCTACCTGCATGCTACTGTCTCCCATAGGTAGGTTGGAAAGCCCTCACTTGGGACACTGAGGTGTGGTGAGGTGGTGCTTTCTCTCAGGTAAGCTCGTGCTCCAATACTCCATGCAACGTGGTGCCCCACCAGCTAGCTAACATGCCCGTACGTACCTCTTCTCTTGCCTTACACCCAGTACGACTGACTCTAAAACCAACCTTTGCTCCGCCCAACCGTCACAACCTGGAGCCATTCATTCCATGGCGCCGTTGCCTACCTGTCTCCTTGCCTCACCTTAGGTTGTTCCTCAGCAGATAGCCCCGGCCCAGTCGCATTTGAGTCGTACGGCCGCTGCTTGCCATTCCAGTGGCCCTGAAATCGGAGACAAAATCACAGCGCCGTCATACCTTACAGTTTGATCGGTTTGGCATTTCGAATCACGCGACCCGGCAATCTGGTATCCATATCCCCCGCCGCAAATCCGAAATACCTCTCTTCCGATTCCACCTCTCTCGGCCTCTCTTCAACCCGTTACTACAGATTTTCACTCCACTGTCAACCATGTTGACATAACAAGACCTGTCGAAATGGCCTTCCAGACAAACGTCTTTAGAAACGGTGCTTGGGTGACGGAGACTATTGACCTCCAAACTGTTCTGAGGGGCTCAACCACAAACACCTCCGCTGTCGCTCCTTCACTCCCCGCTCCGCCAAGCTGTGGTATCTTGACGAGAACTGTCATCGATAGCCCCATTGCTCGATGGGTCTTGCCTGCTCGCCTGAGATCTGCACATCACAACGATGTTGCCTTCGTTGGGGTGAGTTACTCATTCTCTTTCTCGAGCTCACCTGGAGGCTTGGATGTACCACTCCTCGAAACCCGCTGCCCTTTTCCTTGCACAATATCTCCAGAGTATGAGAAGAAGCTTACAAAAATAGGATCGTTACGTGAGCATCAATGAGTTGCGCAAAGATGGGCAGCTTCAGGAGGTGCTGCGTAAGAACGACTTTGGCTGTCGTATTCGAAATGCGCTTGTTATTGGAAACAAGTACGAGCACTTTCGTGTCGTCCCAGACGACCCTGGCCATGACCACATAAAAAGCGAAGACGAAGATGACGACACCCACATGGCCGACATTGGCTCTGGATCTGGTATCAGTAGTTCTCATGGACAGTTCCCACCGCACTTGTTGCTCCTCATCCTCGAATCAGGTTCCTTTGTCTTCCTCTTCATCAAAAGAGATGATGAGAGAGACACACTGGAGTTCGTCGCATCGCCGTTCCACAACCCAGCAAGGAGATTAGGCCACTTGGGATTCCACGTAGCTGTCGACCCCAGGTCTCGCTATATTGCAGTCGCGGACGCCCAAAACAAATTTGTCGTTTACGAGCTAGAGTCCATGGAGGCAATGGGCGATCAATTCATACTTGACAAGGCCATTAAACCCATTAGGGCGCACCACCCAAGAGCAGTCCAAGGTACCATTCTCAAGATGGAGTTTCTTTATCCTCGTCCCGAGGACGAAAGCCACGTTATCCTCCTTCTCATTATCGCAAAGGCCGACAGGTCGAAGATGGTCATCTACGAATGGGAGCGGGGAGACGATCTTAGCCAAGTGCTGGCCGAAGAAAAGCGTGGTCATCGCATCGCACCAGAACATCGTCTCCCTCTTCTCATCATTCCTCTGACAGTGAGGAGTTCCTTTTTCGCAGTTTCCGAACACGCGCTTGGCATATGCAAGGACCCTCTTCAAGGGCCCCCTGACATTGAAACAATCAATCCCATCAGCCACCCCGCGAGCCCTTTTCATCACGGCACTAGTGTACCCCTCTGGACAGCTTGGGATAGACCGGTACGGAGGCGGCGC